TTTTTTTTTTTTTTTTTTTTTTTTTTTTTTTTTTTTTTTTTTTTTTTTGAGACAGGGTTTCTCTGTGCGATCCTGACTGTCCTGGAACTCACTCTGTAGATCAGGCTGGCCTTGAACTTACTAAGATCCACCTGCCCCTGCCTCCTGAGTGCTAGGATTGAAGGTGTGCACCAATTCTTTTATAATTCTATTGACCCTCAATGCAATAAGAGTTAGACAAGACTAACTACTGAATATACTTTTGCATTGACCCACTTAGAAAAAGTAATTTTTTGTTTTGGGGGAGGGGTTTTTCTAATCTCAGTCTCCGCCCCCCTTTTCTTCTGTTGAAACTATATCAAATCATTTTACTACAGTTTTATTTAATGTGTAAACTACATTGCTGTACATAAAGTATATCTTAATTTATAAAAAAAAAGAGCACTTATAACTAAGGAAAAGATGTGTAAACAGCCACTGAACTCAGCAGCAGCAGCAGCTCTCAGAGGAAATGCAAAGCAGAACCTCAGTGAGATTCAGTTCCTACCTGCTGGGGTGGCTGTCCACAGAAAGCCAATGTTGGCAGCTATGCAGAGGAACTGCAACTGAGACGCCATGCTGGTGGGCAGGAGAAATGCCGCCCTTTGGAGCGCAATTCAATACAGAGTTAGGGAATGACTCTGCAATCCCACTTCCAGTGTAATTTCTAAGAGAAATGAAAACCTGCATTTCGACAATAATTGTGTTTGTAGCAGCTTTGTGTGCAATGGTTAAAACTAGAATAACCCAGTCCACTAGTAAGTGCATAAGTGAACTGTGTTACAGCCATACATGCAATACTACTGCTTGTTGAAAAGCAGCAAGCCATGCTCACTTTGGCAGCATGCATACTAAAACTGGAACGATACAGAGAAGATTAGCATGGCCTCTGTGCAAGGATGACACTCAAATTCATGAAGTGCTCCATATTTGTTTTTGAAAAGTATGCTGATATATATTATACACATACACAGAGAGAGACACCTAAAATGGCCATGTAACTACAGTTGCAGAATGCAAACATTTTTGAAAGAGCATTGATTATATCATAGTCCATTAATTTGCAGTGAATCTTTGCTCCTTTTTCCTTAAGCTTGGAATTGGATCTGCTAAGTTGGGGTTTTGCTGCTTGAATCTTGCACCGGGTCCTCGAACAAACTGATGTGAATGCAGTTTTTCCCCATGTGAAGGAACAGTCACATCCCAGCAACAGAATAGGAAGGCATATCTAGAATAATTTCAAGTTTTATCTTTTTGAATAGAAACATAGTTAATAATAAAGAAGAGTTAGCTGTGGTCCATGTGTTGGCACGCACTGACTCCATTCACTGGGTGAAAGAAAGGACACTTTAAAAAGGATGTGATCCAGGACTTCATAGGTGGAGATCTAAAAAATGCAAACTTCTGATCCGCCAGCCTCCACCTTCCAAGTGCTGGAATTCTAGGCATGTGCCACCACACCTAGTTTATGTGGTGCTTGGGATGGAACCCAGCACACTAGGCAAGCGCTCTACCCACTGATCACCCCAGCCCACAGATAGAGTCTTTTTAAAAAGAAAAGTCTGTAGCATTAGCACCTGTAATCGCACCAAATTTCTGTTCCTCTGTGTTCGCAGTTTTCACGCCTGTTTGTGAGTTTGCCGCCACATGTCAGGGTATGCAGCCTTTTCTGCTTATAGCTCCTAAATTATCCTTCATCAGGATTTTACAGGATTGTATTTTGTTATCAGCTTTTACATTAAAGATTACAATGCAGACAGGAAAATCACACAAACCTTAAATGCACAGCTCCATGAACTGCAGAGTGAATGCACACAAGAAGATCTTGTTTTGAAAGGGCCACGTTTTCAACAGGACCGATTGGATGGATGTGTGAGCAAGGCAGACACAGCTGGACACCAGTTAAGGCAGCAAGATAGACTGTAGTCTATTGCTGCCAAGGGCAGAGAAAGAGCTGAGCTCCACAGGATGTGGGCAGAGGTGATGGGGTGGGAGAAGAGAGAGTGGGTGGTGACGGCTTGAGCTGAGTCGGGAGAGTGGAAAGTCACTAAAAGCAGAAGGACTTTGCTCCATGGGAATTCTATCCAGTTTGCTAACTGGCACTTACGCCTTATCAAGAAAGGTCCCCCTACCCCCCACTGGGAGACAGGGAGACAGGGAGACAGGGACTCTTATTTCGGTGGTGCCTAGAACAAACAATAACCTTTTTTGGAAGCTCTGAGTTTTCTCAGCCAGTTATTTTGAAGAAAAACATGGTCATTGCAAGCAATTCAGCCTTGAGCTGTGAGAAAAGGTGTGTTTGTTCAAGTGTTTGAGGGCCAAGACTGAGGCCTGGTAATGCAGAAGACTGAGAGGAACCTGGCTAGCGTTTGGTCAGTGAGAGAACCTTTGTTGACACAGTGACTCACAGATGGCAGGACTTTCAGAATGTTTCCTGTAGCAGGTAGAGGTCAAAGGACCCCTTGCAGGAGTAAGTCATTCTCTCCTTTGACCATGTTGGTCCCGAGGTCCCGGTTGCCAGATTTGGTAGGCTTGGTGGCAGGTGTGGTGATATATTGTGTACCCTAATAAAATTTGCCTGAAGATCATAGAACAAGCCACTAGAATAAACATAGAGGCCAGATAGTGGTGGCACACACCTTTAATCCTAGCACTCGGAAGACAGAGATCTGTCTGGATCTCTGTGAGTTCAAAGCTGCCCTGGATTACCTTTGACAAACAAAACAAAAAACTCGTTTCTCACACTAGCACACACTATCTAGCCCAGTTCATGTGAGTGCTAGGAATTGAACTTGGGTCTTTCAGCTGTGCCAAGCCATCTCCCATAACCCTCACACAGACTTCAATAATATTGTTGAAGTTTACCATGTGTCAGTCATTGAAACTAAGCCTCAGCTGGGCAGGAACTCACAAATCATTGACAGGTAGATTTCAAAGTCAAAGCCAAAAAGTTAAGGGAAACTATAACCCGGGGCTGAGGGCTGCAATAGGGTATAATATTCAGAAGAAAGCAACATTGAGGAAAAAAAAAAAGGAACATTCTAGAAAGAAGAAGAACTCTGCACTCAGGATGGCAAGCATCTGTCTTCTATTTTCAGAGAACTGAGGTAGAATTGCAGACAGGAGGTGGGTGCAAAGTGGGAAGAGAGGGGCCTGAGCCCGTCACACCAGGCACATCCTGAGCTGCAAATTCAAAGACCATCTTAGAATAGAAAATGAATTATTAACACTTATCCAGTGGGAGCTGCTTATTTTATTCCCCCCACGCGAGAGGGGAAGGAGGGCATTTTTAACTATATAGCTGCAAAGGAGGCATGCACGAGGACTTTTACTATCTAGGCACCCCCAGAAGCCAGCAAGTGCAGCAGGGAACAGGCCTGAGCACGAAAGGGCAGCTGTGCCATCCCAGTGGGCCCTGGCCATGTTATACTTGCTGCAGCTGCCTCCACTGGCACCACTGGGAAGCCGAAGGTCTTAGCCAATACACACACACCCCCCCCCAGCTTCCCAAAGCCCATGCCTCTGCTAGGAGAAGCCTACTTCAAACTTTCTGTGGACAGGAAGGCTGAGAATGTAAATTTCGGGCCACCCACCACCTACCCTCTTTGTAGATTTGGACAAATCCCTCAATCACCTTTTACTCCAGTGTCCTCATGTGTCTGATGGCAATGAGAACACAACCAACTCCAGAGTGGTTATGATGCCTAACGGGAGCGCATGTCAAGGGCTCAGAGTTGTGTCTGGTACAGAATAAGCACTGTGTGTTTACTAGCATGATTGTCTCTGAGCGAGAAGTAAAGAGATAGGGAGGAAAGAGGCATGAAAGATATACAATTCTCCCCCAAAAGTCACAGAGCTGGAGAGATTGCTTAGAGGTTAAGAACACTGGCTGCTCCTATGGAGGTCCCGAGTTCAATTCCAAGCACCCACATGGTGATCTAGTGCCCTCTTCTGGCTTGCAGGCATACATGCAAGCAGAACACTGTACACATAATAAGTAAATCTAAAAAAAAAAATGAAACTGACAAAACCCATTACAGTTTTTTTCCATTTTCATGTGTGTGGTGTGTGCCTGTGTATATACATATTTGCATTTATGTGGGAGGAACATGTGAAAGCCCCATATTATGTTGGGAATTATCTTTAATTGCTCTTCTAACTTATTGACTGAGGCTGGGTTTCTTAGTCAAACCTAGACCTTGCCAGTTGCAGGCAGGCATCATGCCCATTGGGCATTTTCATCCAGTGAAATTCTGGGGATTTGAATTCCAGTCCTCATGTGTGCATGGCAAGCGCTTTAATCACTGGGCATCTCAGTGATGCCCAGGGCTTAGTATTATTAAGGTGTGCATACGGTGGCAAGAGGGTGTTTGCTGATGGGACACTGGACAGGAAACTTGTCTAAGGATGTCACCTGTGTTTGGGGAGGGGAGAAGCAAGAAAGAAGGGAGAGTGGGGAGGAGGAGAAAATAAGGAAAGAGAGGCTAGAGGGAGAGAGAGAAAATCAAGTGGGAAGAGAAAGAGAGGGAAAGAAATAGAACTAAAGTAAGTGAAGGCGATAAAGAAAGGATAGAGCGAGGAATGAGGGAAGCCAGAGCAAAAGCAGGCAAGAAAGAGAAGAGGCGGAGGGGAGTGGAAGTAAAGAGATAGGGAGGAAAGAGGCATGAAAGAGAGGAAGAAAGAAGAAAGCGATAAAGGGAGGGGAGGAACCAGTGAGGACTAGGAGCCAGAAGGCAGAAAGGAGGCCAGGAACAGACAGACGCTCGATGCGCTCGTCGCTCACACTTAGGGACTCAACTGCGCGGGACTGTAAGGCTCCGCCCCCGCCCCGCCCCTCGTCCTGCCCGCCGCGGGCCGGGCCTGCGCGAGCGGGGAGGCAGCGGGCTCGACAGCGGCGACATGTACCGGCTCCTGTCAAGTGTGACAGCTCGGGCTTCGGCCGCCA